GTGTGTGTGTGTGTGTGTGTGTGTATGTGTGTGTGTGTGTGTGTGTGTGTGTGTGTGTGTGTGTGTATGTGTGTGTGCGTGTGTGTGTGTGTGTTATTGTGTCACGTGAATATATATATGTATATATATACATATATAACACGTGCACTATATGGCTTCTTCTTGAGCGTGCGCTGTAGAGGGAAACCGTGGATACAAAAGTATTCTACTTTATATTTGAATATGAATGCATAGCCTCAACGAGTATTCAACTGGGATTGCAGAATGAGAATTGGCCATATTTCCAAACGTGTGCAGATATTAAGAGTGATACGAACACCGTTAATGGATGTGATTTAGAAGCGCGTGCCCCTCGTGGTATCGATTGATTAAGTCATACTACACCACGAGCCATAGTGATTCCAGCCGAAAGATGGCATAAGAGAGCGACTACAGCTACAGCCGAGGGGTATGGATACAATGCAGTAGATAAGCTGTGCACATACGGTAGGTAAGCTGTGCACAGACGGTAGGAAAGCTGTGCACATACGGTAGGCAAGCTGTGCACAGACGGTAGGTAAGCTGTGCACAGACGGTAGGTAAGCTGTGCACAGACGGTAGGAAAGCTGTGCACAGACGGTAGGCAAGCTGTGCACAGACGGTAGGTGAGACATGCCCAGAGCGCAAAACGGATGGGATATCTATGAACTCTGACAGAAGATACAGACATCCTGTGGGTTGGTGGGCTGGCTGGGGAGATTCCGTGGCCGAACCGATTACCTTCAGCATTGAGACTGTAGTAATTGCTGATTGGATATAGGATGGTACCCCTGACTGTAACCGATGGTCTACATGGACTGTAGCGAATATAGAAGGTACAACCAGCGCTACACCCAAGGATACCTACCAGGCGAAAGGAAAACGTATCATACAGTACCGCGGTATCTACCTACACCCACCTCATGATGTCGCGGTAGTCCTGGCTGCTGTCGCCCGATTGCATACGATCAGATATGTCACTGATTGCTACGAACAAGTCCTGGATGGTGTCTGACCGTTTGATGTCCGTGTCGTCTGTAGCAGCCTGTGATGTTAGGGATTTAGGGTTTTAGGTTTTAAGGTTTTAAGGTTTTAGGTGTGTATGCATGTATTCAATTGGGAACGTGAGCGTATAAGCATGTACCCTGTTGTGGACGTAAACGATTGTGCCTATAGTTCAGTCGGTGCAAGTGGTTGTGTAGCGCCCATGCCAGCGTGAAAGCAAAGGTTGAGCGTATGCCCAATAGTGCAAGTGAGTTTATATGCGTAGTGTGTATGCACGATACTGAAATGTGCTTCGTCGTCTGCCAAGCTACAGTGATACAGTGTAAGTTAATGTGTATCAGTGCCACCCGAGTGTGACGTCGAAGGCGTATGTATTTAAGCATCGCTGCGAGCTGTGCATCGGGTTAGCTTCAAACCGTGAGTATATATTTGGGTCAGACGTGTATAGAACAGTTCGTGTGGGTGCGTGCGTGCGTACGTATTCGATTACATGCATATCTCGTCAATGTGCGCTATCTGACAATGAGCGGTAGTCCGTGCGGTTGGGTGCATTCCGTATGCATGAAGCTGTATACGTAACTGTGTGCTTACTGTATATATGGCATCACTTGTGTACGTGTGGTATGGCGAAATGGTGTGCGACTGCGTGAATATGACACACCACATGCAAAGTACATATAAACAATACGCATACAGATATAAACTTTGTATGCACCTACTTGAATGCTGCACATTTTCTATGTAAAATATACAAAACATTCGCTATACTTGATCTTCTACCCACTTAACAATTCCTGCCAATTCCTTTTTCAAATTCCGAAGCACGAGGTTATTCTCACAGTAGCCATGCACTATATACACTTGACCTTCCACCCCACATTATCGATACCTACCAATTCCCTTTCCAAATTCATGATCCCGATAGAGTCCAGGCGTTTGATTTTGGACTTGATCGAATCCAACTGCTGCGTGTACGGCTTCAGCAGCGAATAGCCCTCGACCGTGTTAGGGTTGAGCAAAACACACGACAACACCGCCAGCCGCGGGATGGTGAACATCACTTGCGGGTCATAGTACTCCATTTGATCCTGGGTGTAGGTAGATAGAAATATATCTATAAATAGATTACTCCGTGATGCGCAGGACACGACAGTACAGCCAATCGTGGAATGGAGAAGATAGTACTCCTTTCCATTTTGGGTGTTAGTAGGTAAAAGAATATTTCTAGAGCTCCTGGGTGTAGTTAGAAA